CCCGTTTATAAACAGGGCGGGGGCGGAGGCGGGTATGATGATATTCTTACCCGCAGGTACCCGTTTAATAATATTTCTTAAATATCCTAATTATCCTTATATCACATAACCCTAAAACTACACTCTCTCATCTTTGTGATATGAGACTTTTACTTACTTGTGAGATTGATGTATTTTAAGTTATTGATTATCTTGCATTTTTATTATTATTTCAACAAAATTAATGTTAAATACAAGTTAAAAATTAACATTAAATTTTTATGTTTAATATTTCAATGACATTAAATATAAACTTAAAATTATTTGTAACATAATTTTTTTTAATTTCTTAAAAAATTTATAAATATCTATGAATATCCGTGAGTATTCGTATATTATTTTAGGGTTGTTAGTGTTCTAAAATTATATTTGTTTACAAATCGTAAGTCTTTTTGTAAATATAATTTATATAATGTGTGGCAGTTAAATTAAATTAATCATAAAAAATAGGATATAAAATTGAATTTAAATTTGAATGTTAAAATAAATTACTTTATAAAGTTATATTTGCTAAAAAATGGTAAATAAATTTAATTGTTAAAATAATGTAGTTTTGTTTTTGTTAGTGTTATATTCAAATTTTTGTATATGAGTTTATTTATAATTTTTAATGTTTAAAAATATTGTTAACATAGTAATTATTTCCTAAAAAATCGTATAAAAAATTAAGAATTAATGTGTTGTTATATTTTGTTATACATGACATCATCTTCTGTATAATTTTTTTTTGGTGAGATCTTCTGTATAATTTAGTTATATTTATATAATTTTTTTAATTATATATATAATTTGTTTTAAGGTTGTTAGTGTTATATTACATTTTTTTATATTAGTTTATTTATATTTTATATGATGTATGAAATAATGTGTTGTTATATTTTATTATAGATGGCATCATCTTCTACAGCTATGCGTGTGACATGTGGACCCATTGAAGATGATTTATTGACATTGCAAAATATACATGTTTCACAACATGTTTGGAATAGAGAAGATGATAGGAGATTAATGGCACGACGTGCTGCTCCAACGCGCAATGGAATTGAGGGAGTTCCACATCAAATAGTTCCGTTATTAGAACAAGCAGGATTTGGATGGATTGCTCGTTTAAGTTATATCAAAGTTAGTCCTGGTTTGTTAACGGCTTTGGTAGAACGATGGAGACCAGAAACACACACATTTCACATGCCATTCGGAGAATGCACAATTACTCTTCAAGATGTTGGTATGCTTGTTGGTCTTCCAGTTGACGGTGAACCAGTTTTAACTCGAAACAGTGCTAATATATTGGGATTAGGTACTAAAAAAACTTTACTTTAAGTTAATTTTAAATTTATACTAATTATTTTTTTATAATATTAATTATTGGTAAATAATTTGTTTTATTTTATGCAGCTCTCGATTTTTTAGGGGTTGTTCCACCTCAGTCAGAAATGAAAGGACATCGCGTGAAGTTATCTTGGTTGACAACAAACTTTAATGACATTGCAGATGACATAAATGAGCTACATCAGTTGCTTCCTTATGCTAGAGCTTGGATACTACGTTTTCTAGGAGGACTTCTTGTTCCTGATAGATCTTCAAGCTATGTGTCATTAAGGTGGTTGGCGTTTTTAGGTGACTTTCAAACTATTAAGACATATGCATGGGGTGCAGCTGTGCTTGGATCTTTGTATCGCAATTTATGCACCTCTACTGATTACAAAACGCCAAGTTGTGGTGGGTTTACACTTTTATTGCAGTTATGGGCATGGGAACGATTCCCAACCATTCTCTGTTCACCATTCCCACCTATTCCTCCAGGCAGTCCTATTGGTTTAAGGTATGATCAAATTCAAATATTAACATTTTTAAAATTATTCAATAAATTTTAGAGAATTTAATTGTTTACATTTTGATTTCAGGTGGTCCAACACAGCCACTAAAATAAGTATGAGCGATGATATTAAATTTTATCGCAAATTCTTTGATCGTTTGACCAGAAAATCTGTAAGTAATTCAAATTATAGTGGTTTTAAAAATTCATTATGTAACTTATTAGTATTTTAATATAAACTAATTTAAAAAATTAATTTACAGATTATTTGGCAACCATATCCGCCTTTTGAACAGATGCCCGAGGACAACACACAGGGGATTCGTATTTGGGGTTCTGTAATCCCGTTACTTTCTCTGTGTATTTGTGAATGGCATCAGCCAGATAGGGTGATGAGGCAATTTGGTTGCCAACAACCAATTCCAAATCCTCCGATGACTCCTGCTCATGTGCATGCGTTGACCCTGCGGGGAAAGGCCGATGATGATTGGACTACAATATTAAGTCCAGCACTTGAGCATTGGGCCAACCGATATGCATACCACTTTGCACCTACTCCTCCACAGGTTGGACTATTAGGTCCAAATTCTGAATACATGAGGTGGTATCGTAGAAAGGGGAAGTTGTACATTGATCCCGATGAAGTTAAAGACTCAATTGTGGTATGTGCATATTACAACTCATATTTGAATATATTATTTTGTTAAATTATAAAGTTGTAAACTAATTTTATTATTTCTTCTATATGTAGGGAGACGTAATAGAATGCTTGGCATACTTGACATCTCCTCATGGCAGGGCAAACTTTTCAGTGGAATCAGTCACAGAGCAAACTAATCGATTATTATCGATATCTGATGACTATAGGGCTAGATTCGTTGAGCCAGCTGAGGAAGCACCCCTTCCCTCTGGTTCATATGACGTGGGGACTTTCAATGTTCCTCCACAGTCAAGGGAGGCTGCAGGGTTATCTCGACGAAGAACGGCAATTGAGGCGATGGATCACATGTACCCTACATTGCCAGACAGACCAGCAGGGTTATATTATATTCCTTCTCAAGAGCCCAGTTATCCATCGCAATCTCAATATACATATTGGTACACTCCACCACGCCCACCAGGTTTTGAGACATCAGTTCCGATGACAACAACACATATCTGTGAGTCACTTGATTTAGACTCATCACCGGAACCTGTTATGTCATCAGAAATGATGGATTCAAAAAATCCCCTTTAATAACTCCACAACCAAGTCTACCATAGATCACAACGATTACCAACAAAAACTCATCATGACACAGATCATAAAATGACCCTGGAGCAATTTCTTTCATGTATTGGAGCCATCAAGGAAAATAAGCATACAATTCTTCCCAATCTCCAAAAATGTTAACAATTACTTTTTGTTTCGCCATCAAAGCCTTTCTATAAGATATTTTAAACCCAGTTTGAGATGTTATTCTCTTTTGGATAAGGCTAATCTTGATTGATGGATCTTGGTTAACCATTCTTACATATTAAATATTAGTAATCAGTAAGATAAATTATTATTAATATAAACTATAAACTTTGCAGAACTTACCTTGTATAAATGATGCAATTAACTCAGAATCTAACTTAGCATGATCTTGTGACAAAGACATGTTCAAACACGTATGACGTCCACCCCACTGAGTCACTTTCCACTTATTAGATTTCTTTGACTCAATGGCTCTCATGTACCATGCACATCCATCATGTGCATTTGGACATCTAACAACCCACTAGGTCTTTTTCGACTCAACCACATAAAAACTTTGATGCATTCTCATTGCATTTTGCTTTACTTCATTTTTAACCGCATCTTTATTCTCAAACTCCAACCCCACATATAAATCTTGGCCAATTGACCAAGTATTACGCAGATCCATCCCTGGGATATCTTCTTCATCTGGATGATTCCAATTGATGTTAGTGTAGTGGGGTAAATTACCCCAAAATTGACTTCCACCTATTTTAATAATAATGACTTTAGTACTTTCAATAAAATCAAATTCAACAATTTATTTTAAACAAATAACAAACTATTGACAAATTTAATTTTCAGATGTTACCTTCAGTAGATGGTTCACAATCATCAATTTCATCTTCATTGGATTCATCAATGCTTTCATATGATAATGAAACATGATAGTCTTCATCTACTTTGTCATCTTCATCTTCGTCTCTTGTGATCAAAGGTGATCGTTCAATTGACAAATTTTCTAATGAAAAAGTTGAAGATTCTTGCATACCTATTTCAACATATAATTCCATTATTGGCATCACATTCTGGCTCTGAAATGCTTCTGTCATGCATTGTACATCATCATCGTCACTCAATTCTAATGAAGAATATATGTTGTTATCATCTTGTGAAACTAAAAATCTGTAACTTACAGATAATATCACTTGTTTTGACTTAAGACCAAATTTGTTGTGAATCCTTCTCTTTAATATATCCAAAGTTATACCTCGTGTCATGGATGTCACTATGGGCCATAGCAACACCGTTGTAAATAGCCCCAAAGGCGTAATTAGTTACAAAACAGCCTCATTTACGTAATATGTTTCTAAAACAGCCCCACTATGGTCAAAAAACTATAAATATATATATATATATATATATATATATAATAGAATATGTGAATCTATTATATATTATTGTAATACTAACATATTCGAATTCGATCATGTATACATATATTCGAATAGGGTAAAACCCTATTTTGGTCCTTTATAATAATTGTTTCAATTTAGTCTCACTTTTATTTTTGGTTTCAATTTAGTCCCAAATAAATTAATTGGTTTCAATTTGGTCTCTAATTAATTAATTGGTTTCAATTTGGGACTTCCGTCCAAATTATTTAAACGGAGTTAACTTTTGGCCACGTGGATGCTACGAGATGCATACGTGGATACCACGTGGATGCCAAATTTTGTGAAAACATCTGGAACCAGAACGGGCCGTTCCAGATGCACTCTTGGTGTGTTTATTTTGCACCTGAAACGGGTCGTTCTAGATGCAAAATTAACATACCACCAATGCATTAGAACGTCCCGTTCTAGACTCAGAACGGGCCGTTCTGGGCCCGTTCCAAAACTGAAAATAAAATATTCTTTATTAATTTTATTAAAAAATTAATAATTTTGAAAAATATTTTTTTTATGGTAAAAATTTTAAAATTACTTATTTTTATAAAATACAATTGTCTTATAAATACAGTAATAACTTTTTCTTTTTATCTTTCTGTCTGAATAAATATCTAAGTGTCACTTTATAATTTTTTGCAACTTATTTAAAATTATAAAAATAAAATGATAAAAATTAATATAAAACTATTTGAAATACTTTGTACCTTGGGTCTTTTTTCTTCCATGATTTACAACCGTAAACTATAATCATTGATCGTTTATGTTTAGCAGTGTGGAAGCAGAACGGCCCGTTCTGAAACCAGAATTCCAGATCCAAATATAACACACCAAAAGTGCAACCAGAACGGGCCGTTCTGGTTCCAGGTGTTTTAAAAAAAGTGTCATCCACGTGGCATCCACGTGACCAATAGTTAACTCCGTTTAAATAATTTAGACGGAAGTCCCAAATTGAAACCAATTAATGTATTTGGGACCAAATTGAAACCAATTAATTTATTTGACATCAAATTGAAACCAAAAATAAAAATGAGACTAAATTGAAATAAACAATTATTATAAAGGACCAAAATAGGGTTTTAGCCTATTCGAATATATTTAGTGTTTTTGTTCAATATAATTATGCATAATCTTTGTCATTTTCTTAATTTTAAGTAAATCTCTTCATTTTTTAGGATGAGTACTGTTGACATGGAACCACCATAATTCTACTTAAATTAATTCACTCTTTTCTCCTTTATCATGCACAACTGTTTCTTTTATATCACTCAAATTCATTTCCGTGGAACCACCGTAATTCTAATTAAATTCACTCTTT